AGTGGGGTGGGGTCCCCACAGGGGGGGCAGGGCCAGCCTGGTGAGGGGCTGTGGGTGGTTTGCAGGCCAGCCATGTCACCAATCGGGGTGGGGGTCCCTGCTGGGGGCGGGGCCGGCCTGGGCGAGGGACCGCGGTGTTCTGGTCTCTGGTCGTTCCAGTTGTGATCGTGTTATGGTCGCTGGCTTTTTATATATATAGATAATACCCATTAGATGGATAATATCACATTTTGCTTATCCATTCATTAGTTGATGCACATTTGGGTTGTTTCCACAGTTTGGGCATCTATAATAATAATAGCATAATATGCTAATTAGACAGATACCTTTACGGATGTCGTTCTGAGATGAAGCCGGGGTTGCAGCCGCGAGGAAGGGATCCAGGCAGCCACTATAGCTGTGAGGGAGGGATTGAGGCAGCCACGGCTGCGAGGCTTGCACAAATATTGTGCATTGGGCCTCTAGTTATGAATAATGCTGCTATGATCATTAGTGTACAGGTTTTAATGCAGACGTATGTTTTCATTTCTTGTGGGTACATACTCTAGATATATACAGGGTGGGACAAAAGTAGGTTTGTAGTTGTGAGTACGCCAAACAGTTTATTTTTTGTGTTAGTAGTTATTAATTACTGTATTATTTTCCATATGAACAACTGTAAACCTACTTTTTCCCCACCCTGTACTCACTGGGTCATAGGATAATTCTGAGTTCTGTCTCCACCCTTGTGAAGCCGGGTTATTAGTAAGTAGGAAGAACTCGAGACCGAATCAAGGCCTAGAACAGCTTCCACATGGAATGTTGACCACACGGTGGTGCTGTTTACTTTTTCAAATCCACATTATTTAAAACATTTCTCTTGTATACCCTTGATTCTGGGACCAGCCTGGATGGGGCAGATCCTGCCTGCCAGCCTTGAAGTTCAGTGCATTTCCTCCAAGGAGATCGCTGTCCGTGACTGAGAGCCATTTAAGATACGCATCACCCAAGTGCTCAGAATTCATCTTCAGATCTTAAATGATGTCGTCAGCTGAAGAGTGTCGGCTGACCTGGAGAAAAAGTGATTGGCATTGGGAAGCATGTTGCATTGATGCAGCCCTTCAATCATCCTCTAGACTGCTGCTTGGGTACAGGAATAAGGTAAGGGATCATCATAGCTTTTTCTTTTCCCCCCTTTTTTTCATTATTATTTTTTAATTGAAATTCTTTATTGTTTAAAGTATTACATATGTCTCCTTTTTCCCTCATTGACCTCTCCCCAGCCGCTCCCACCCCCAGCACAGAGCTTTTTCGAGGGCTCTGTGAGCAAGCCCTTGGTGAGGGTGGAAGAGAAGAGCTGCCATCTGATGAGCACCTGTGAGGTTTTAAGCTCCTTACATTCACTGTCTATTTAAAAATCTCTAACACATTTCACGAGGTAGGCATTCCCATTTTGTCGATGAGGAAACAGGCTGGATGGGTACATCTTTTGGTCCCAGGTTATACAGCCCAAACAGGCGAGATTCCGTTTTAAACCCAGGTTTGACTATTTCCACGGGTCCCCAGTTCTCTTTCTCCATGTGCTCTGTAAGGTGGAGCCGCACCCTTGCAGCATTCATAACTAACTTAGGGAGACAAGATTCCTACAAGTATGTTTAATAAAATAAGGCAACAGCAACTTAAAATTCATGAAAGAGAGTTACTTCTGTTGACGTGGAAATGGTCGCCATATATTGCTAAGGGAGAATAAGCAAGCTTGTGAATAGCAAGTTAGTCTTCAGTGGAGGCCAACAGTGGGAGGTATTGTGCTGGGATCTAGACAGCACCCGGAGGCTTCCCACTGCTTCCTACCAGCCAACCTCTTCTCAGGTTTAACCATTTCTACTCCATACTATAGGTTAGGGTTATCTGTTCTGCATAGAAAGGAAATAATCTAGTATCTGTACTTTTTGTTGTTGTTAATCCTCTAACCCAAGGATATTTCCCCTTGATTTTTAGACAGAGTGGAAGGGAAGGAGGGAGAGAGAGAGAAACATCATGTGAGAGAGATACATCAATTGGTTGCCTCCTGCACATGCCCAGACCAGGGGTGGGGATCGAATCTGCAACCCAGGTATGTGTCCTTGACTGGGAATCAAACCTGCAACACTCTAACCACCGAGCCACGTCAGCCAGGGTAGTATGTATACTTTTTAAAAAATATATATTTTATTGATTTTTTACGGAGAGAAAGGGAGAGGAATAGAGAGTTAGAAACATTGATGAGAGAGAAATCGATCAGCTGCCTCCTGCACACCTCCTAATGGGGATGTACCCGCAACCAAGGTACATGCCCTTGACTGGAATCGAACCTGAGACCTTTCAGTCCGCAGGTCAACACTCTATCCATGGAGCCAAATTGGTTAGGGCAGTGTGTATACTTTTATGTTTAGTTGCATTCAGCACATTTTGTCTGTGAGATTTACTCATGTTGTTGCATGTAGCAGTGACCTTTTCAAATTGCTGATTGCTATTCCATTGACTGGATATACTACTGGCTGATGGACATTTGGGTGATTTCAGATTTGGGGCTATTGTGAAAAAAGTTACTATGAATACCCTTTTACGTGTCTTTTGGTTGATGTATTCACTCATATCTCTTGAATATTTGGATTGTTTCCAGTTGGGGATCACTGAGAATAATGCTGCTATGAGCATTCTCGTTACCTGGCTTTTGGTGCACATCTGTAGGCAATTCTGTTGGGGACAGGTCTGGTTTGCTGGGTCACAGCACGGGGATATTTAACTTGAGTAGATAGCCAGAGTGTTTTCAACACGGTGGTACCTCTTGCTTGTTATTGACATTCAAATAACATTATTGGCAGATGTTCCCTGGATTGCATGCATGGAGAGAAGGAAGCAGGGGGACAGGGAATGAGAAAGTGCACAACAGAGGTCCGCGCGCGTAGACATGTTGATTCAGAGTCTCAGGGTCCCCAGAGGAGAGGAAAACCATGGTTTTGGCGACTCCCAGCAGGTCCCTCCAGATTGCCGGCTTGCAGCGCATCTGCACACCTGGGAGGCCGGATCTGGGGATGCGCTCAGGCCCTGAGCTGTGCCCCCTGCCTCCAGCCCTGGTTTATCAGCCCTGGAGGGCAGGACAGTGCCTTCCTAGCACCTGGGCCCCGCTTTAGGTGGCTGCAGCTGCCCCAGGCAGGGCTTTTATTGTGAAAGGAGCTCCCCCTTCCGCGCTTTCGGGGAAGTGGAGAGGCTGGGCCAGGACTTGCCGCAGGGACTTTGCAAACTCTGCAAACGTTCCTAGCTGATCGCGGAGGCTCGAGGCTGCGGGAGGGCTCCCGCGGATCCCACGTGCATTTGCCCAGACCTCCTCTATCAACTCCACCCGCAAGCATCCCAGCGCACATCGCACACCCAGGAGTTGTCCAGGGGCCACTTGGCTGCTGGGAAGCTGTGGACCTTTGGTCCTGGAAACCCACATCCAGGGAAGCCTGGCAAGCCACTGCCGGGGCGGCCGGGGTGGCAGGATGAGCTGGTGAGCCGACTGAGCATCGAGGAGTGGGTCCAGCCATCGTGGGGGACATGGTAGGAATCGCAGGAGGGGAAGCGCGGTGGAAGGGTGGGGCGGACTCCCACACAGGTGGCCACTTGCAGCATGCACCCCTGTGGGCATGGGGAACCTGCGCAGCCTGCGACCTGCGGGCTTGAATTGTTCCCCGAAGGTTCCCTGGGGGCAGTGGCGCCTTTCATTTCTGCACTGAGGATGGGGGCACTCAGCTTTGCTGCTTCCCTTGGTGGGGAGGACCCTAATTCCGGGCCTTCATTGTGGACCCGCACATTCCGTAACCTCCTCTCGTCTCTGCACAAACTCCATCCGATCCACAGGCCGGGAGAGGAGAGGATTCTGGCAGGCACCCAAGGCAGCCTCAGATGTGTGAGACCTCTTAACGTCGCTTTATTCCCCTGGCAAATGCATGTGAATTTTATATTCTACAGCTTAGCCACGTTTGAATATTAAAAAGTGCTGCCTTACGTTTATTACCATAGAATCACATTGGCCCTGGTAAGGTTCCAATGCCTGGCTCCCACCCCTCTCCACCTCCCAGGACCACAGAACAGGTGTGGGAGCGCTGGCCAGTCTGGGCTGTCAT